ATGCCATTTGGCGAGATTTGTTTATGTAGAAAGTTTTTCTACATAAGTAGTAAAAGTAAAGGTTGATAATTCTGATGAAAATAAAGTAAAAGTTGATTGGAATTTGAACTTTTTGATAAATTATATCATAAAATGAATGTATGGATTTGTATCCAACCACATTTGTGGTGATGCCATTTGGCGAGATTTGTTTATGTAGAAAGTTTTTCTACATAAGTAGTAAAAGTAAAGGTTGATAATTCTGATGAAAATAAAGTAAAATTTTATTGGAATTTGAACTTTTTGATAAATTATATCATAAAATGATTTTATGGATGTTTATCAACCATATTTGTTTTGATGCCATTTCGTGAGATTGTTTTCAGTAGGAAGTATTTCTACAAATAGTAAAGTAAATGTTGATTATTCTGATGAAAATAAGGTTATCATAACTTGATTATCAAATGGATGTTTATACAAACACATTCATATTTTTCTTAATTTAAAAAAAAAAAAATGATTGGTGCAATTCATAAATTTTGAACTTAATGGTGGAATTTTGATTTATTTTATCATTTAATGATAGTATGCATGTTTTGCTAGCCACAATGATGATGACTTTGATTTTTTTTTATATAGATTAAGAGAGAGAGAGAAAAGAGATCCTATACATATTTACTAAAATATCAGAGTTACAAGATATATGTATCTATCAGTTTTCTAACATCAAATCTGTTCTTTCAGGTATTATTGGTTATATTCTTCTTACGTTTAATTCAAGCACCATGAGGTATTAATCGGTGTACCAATAATGACAGAGTTTCAAAGAGGCACATATCCAAGGAATTGAGATGGGATTCAAGATATTTCACAGGAATGTGTATTTTGTGCTATTTTGATATTGGATGATGAATATACTTCTATGTATGACTGTGTCGAATTCATTTGATATATTTGAAGCCTTCTTCCCTGGGACTTCAGGATAAATCGTATGGTATGCGTTGAATTTGACTTGAAACTATACTCAAAACTCAAGTGCAGCAAGCATTTATCGATGTATGGATAGGATGTGTGCATAACATCAAGACTTTTACAATCAGACTCACATGGTGAATTGCATTATGGATTTTCAAAAGACGGCGGTGTATTGAATTTTTTTTTCGGATGGATATACATGTATTGATATTTTCCCGCGTTTCGCTAGTATAGCGGGAAAATGTTGTATTAATGACAAGATGTTTATACGCATGTTGTGTGGATTGGTCAGAGAGTGACCAATAGAAATTGATTTTGAGGTGTAGTAGAGAACTGGTTTTTAAAGGTTGGTCACTTCTAGCCGCCGACTTAAGCGAGCAACAGCTAAATTTTTTTAATTTATGTATAAAGGGTATAAGTGAATATATTTATATACATATATTTGATTTTTTTTTCTTAGGGTTTTATTGGTAGGTCGTGAGGTCCGTCGCAACATTTTTTGCATCCAGCGGCACTTGGCAACGGACACAGGTTTCTAGAGTTTTTTAAAAATTATTTTTATCTCTAGTTTTTCCTGGCCGGCTCTGATGCTTTTCATGTTTATCACAAAGAATATTTTAGAATTATAATAGATGCAGCAGTTTTAGGGGATTTTGATGTTTTTATTTCTCATACACAATGTCCTGTGTTATATATATGTATATTGATGTACTGTTAATAAAATACGGCGTCCGGCGCACGCACGGCTGGCTGTCATGCATAGAATGTTGTTGTTTGTTTGTATAAAAGTAATGGAGTGAATACATGTATTTCTTTTTGGTGATTATTCAATTGTTTTCAAAACATTTTATTGGAAAATTTCTGTAAAATTTTATGTTTTTATTGTTTGAAATATTGAATGACTTATGATTTAAATGAATTTTGTTGGATTGAATTTAAAATCAATGATTTTATACTTTCATTTTCCCGTTCTTTGTATTTAGAGCTACTGCGTGTCGTTGCTATGTCCAAATGGTGTGTTTGTTTTTTATTGTACTTTCATTTGAAAGTAATAAATGGATTTAGAGTAGAAATATGATTTCTTTCGTTTGAGGAACGAATTAGACAGAAATCAATTTCTACTTGGTGTGATAATGAATTACTTTTTCGGAATTACAAGGTTTTCATTCGAATACCTGGTGTATATCACGTGGTTCTTTAGAACCGGTCTCGTTAGCAAGGCTATATAAGAGGTGAATAGTGGTTTAAATACCAGTTTAGGACGACACGTAGAGCACGATAAAGTTTAATTTTTTAGAGAGAGAGAGCACTCGCGCTCACCGACTTGTGGGGAACTCACACCTGACAAAGGACCTTTCTTATGGGGAAAGTTCAGAATTGTGGGGAACTCTCTTTTGCTTTTCAGTTCCCCACAAATATGGTCATGGGGTTTTTTGAATTCTACGTGTTCTACTGATAATATTTATTCGATTTGTGGTCATTTTTGAAAAAATCCCCATAAGTCCGTAAAATTGACTCGCAGTAATTTTCTCACTGCACCGTAAAACGAATGTTTGAGGATGCTGGGAAATGTTCATTCGGAACGCAGCGGAATTTAAACTGGTCCCCATATGATACCAATTTATTGCGGGCAATGGCTGCTCCGAGAATATGTGGTAAGTAGATTTTTTATCATATTTTAAAGATATTATAGGCTGAAAACTTAATTTAACTACGTAAATCATGCATGCAGTTATTTCTTACAGACGTTCGTAAAGTAACATTTAATAATGAATGCACGTAAAACTTTGGGAAAGTTTGACCCGACCTAGACCTCGGTTATTTTTTTTTAATTGTATCATGTTTATAGGCCTAATGGCTATCCTGTAAGAACAAACTACGGATTTATATGAATTCAGCACCCCCGGGATATGGTAAGCGTTTAAGGCTTGTCCCCATTTTTTGTGAAACGCGACTATCCTCCTCATGCCCATACAAATTATGCTAGACGGTGCGACTGTCTGGTCTTTAGCTGTTTAGTGAGGCCTGTGTGGGCGAATTAATTGTAAAAGTTAATCTGACTTAAACTGTACGTGTATTTATAAACGATGTCAGTCACACACTGACTCAGTGTCAGAAATGTATCACAGAGAACTCCACCTTTTCAAAAGGTCCATTGAAATCAGTACATTTATAGATTTACGTAGCTAAAATTTCTTAGCTTGGTTAGATTATTTAACATGTTTAATTCTTCCAAAAAAAGCTTGATTTAGTTATCGTTTTTTTATCAAGTCATTCTTCCTACTTGTATATATTTCTTCGCATGCGTTGGTTTGCATAGTGTCCATTTGCCTTCATTATCTTTCACCTGCACCCTGTTCTACATTCATCCTGATTGCCCTACTGAAAATATTTTCATGATTTTAGACCATCATTATCGATGTATCATAAGTATTTTTTTTTATTTTGCTAAGGCCAAGATAAATAGATAGTGTTTCCTATTTTAACCTTAGAAAAGATAGGGTAGGTAGGTAGGAAAAACATTTTTATTTTATTTTAACATTTTATTGGCAGGCACGCTGCCACTTTCCCCCAGGATTTCACTGTCAAAATATTTCTGATTAATATGTGTAAGATATGCATTTCTCAAACATGGAAGTGATCAAGATTGGGATTTCATTTCTAATTGTAAACTGGAATTCCGAATACTGTAATATGTGTATATAATTTGGTGCTTTCAAAATTTAGCATAATCACTGGGTTGGCATAATCATAAATTAGCGCTACACATGTATGTGCGGTGTATTGTATATATCAATATGTAAATGATTTCTTAGCAGTATTCATGAATTAGTGCATTGTTGTCTGCACCAAAGCCGCTAAAATATGAAGCCTGCATTTTAAAGTATACATACAGTAGTTTACTCATGGAAAGATATTAGCAGAAAAAATATTGAGGGTCGGCTCCTATACTTCTTAGAGTTAGGCGGGGAACTAAACATGCTGAAAACACACTACTTATTTATTTAGGCCCAATTAAAATGTCTAATAAATTCATTTTAATTAAATACTTATTTTGATTGTTAATTAAAGATCACCTTTTATTTTTAAAATTTGTTACAATTCAAACCTTGGCCTTGGGGTTTAGATGCTGATGGAATAAATAAGAAACAAAATCATATGTAAAAAATAACTAAAAATCCTTTTCAAAACCTCAATTACTATTGAATTATGATTGGGCGTGGTATACAAAATAATGCGAATTGGAGGAAATGGAGAAACATAGTAATAACAATTAGATCAGCTTTTATGATAGCGAGCATATTAAAAATTTAAAATTGGTTATAAAATTGAAAGGTAATGTTGAGATTTTAAGATTCAATATCTATTATTCATAATTATTTATATTTGCTTAACTGAATTTATACCTTTTTAAATTTATTTACATATAACGATCGCGCTCAAAGTTTTGGGTCTGATAATGCTTCCTGATTTTGGTCTTTTATTTTTTTTTTAAGAAAACCATTTGATTTCTGCACCCACTCCTCCTTTCTAAAAATTTTTAATCTGCCTCTGGTAACTTTACGCTGTAAATTTCTATTCTCATTTTAATTAAATTTAAATAAATACTAACAGCACTATCATGCAATTTCAATGACTATCATTTAAGGTATTGATTCAGTTTTCTGTCATTCCTAAAAATAAGTTGTACTGTATCGTTGATTTTTTGCATATAAAACAGTTTCTGCTCATCAAACATCCACGAGAAAGTGTTCTGTTTCGCAGTTATTGTACGGTTGATTTAAAAGGGAAAGCTCTCTGGGCCATGTCACAAGAAGGAAAAAAGTAAAATATTTTTCATACCTACCTACCCACTGTTAACAATATGGTTCAGGAAAGGGCATACATTAAGTCTTAATTTTGGCATGCCGCATGGGGTCAAAAATTACTATTGAGTGATGTGGAGATATACCTGTCTTGTAATTATAGGTAAAGATATGAACACTTAAAAAAAAATATACAATGAAATCTTGAAACTGAAAGCAAAATTATCATTGCAGGTTTTGGGGTTTTTCACCACAAGAGCAAATTATACAACTTTATTCTTGAAAATGTTAGAGACTGAGACTTGGAGTCAAAGTCAACAGACACGCTTGCATGGACATGAAGGATGTAAAGAACTAGAGTATTATAACTGAAAGCATTTTGTCTGGATTTGTGTATGGAAACAGAAGGATTTAGTATTGGTAAGTCAAGATAGCTGTAAAATCTCATTTTGAACTCTATATGTGAGCAGTACTGTAAACCAACTACCAGGTAGTACACATGTACCCTATTTGTGTCATCTTTTATTTGCATATCTAATCTGTGTTGATTAATTTCCGTGACTAATGAAAGGAAACATTCTCTACAAATATAAAGCAAAATTAATAGTTCAGGGCAATTAATAATTTACTATTCACTAGTAAATGTAGGTCATGAAACTGGCAAATATTTCTTGCACTCAAATAAAAGTTGGTTTACAGTACTTCCGTTGCTCTAAAAACAGAAATAATAAAAAAAAGCATGCTGATATCATGTATGTTATGAAGCCTAATACATGTACATAGAAGTATATAAACCGGTATATCTAAAATAAAAAAAAAAATTTGGTCCTTGTTCATGATTTCAAAGTAGGTTAAAAGCCTCATGAACATGCTGAGAAGTTGTCAGAAAATATACATGTGTGCTAACCATGCTAACTGTGTAACAATAATCAGAAAATTTTACAAAATATAATCAAAATTTGGTTAATAATAATTAGTCATTGGCCAATTAAATCCATCAATGATTAAATTAGTACTTATATATACTGTCTCCTGATTTTATGACTTTTTATCCTTTTCAACATACTTATTATTTTTGAATTGAAAACATTTTTTTTACCTGAGAAAATTAAAATTTGCAATTTGTTTTAAATCTAGTGAAGGAAAACAAATGTTTTTAAAATTAATGTGCTTTGATTTAAAAGACTTGTAAACATTAGATTAGTAATACATGTAGTTTCAATACAATTATTAATATTGATGATTGATTTTTTTTAAGATTTGATAGTTATTTTATTTGTTGAAAAATAATTTTTATCTGTAATGTTCATGTATAATAAAATAATGCATTTCCCAATAAGTGATAAATGTTTCCCACAAGTCAGCAATATACACTGAAGTGTACATTTATTGGTTGGGTTCAAAGGCAACATTTATATGGAAACAAAGTTTTAAGGGTAAAGCAATGGTCAATACATGTGTATTCCTCACAAGTGAACAGTGAGAAATATTCCCCACAAGTCAGCAGTGATAAATATTACCTAAAATTGTTAACTGTGAGAAATATTCCCCACAAGTCAGCAATGATAAATATAACCTACGTGAGAAATATTCCCCACAAGTCAGCAGTGATAAATATTCCCCACAAGTCACCAATGAAAAGTATTACAAGTTAACAGTGATAAATATTCCCCACAAGTCAGCAGTGATAAATATTCCCCACAAGTCAGCAATGAAAAGTATTACAATGAAAAGTATTATTCAAAGTTAACAGTGAGAAATATTCCCCACAAGTCAGCAGTGAGAAATATTCCCCACAAGTCAGCAATGAAAAGTATTACAAGTTAACAGTGAGAAATATTCCCCACAAGTCAGCAATGATAAGTATTACCTACAAGTCAACTGTGAGGAATATTCAATAACAACATACAATTATTTTAACCCATTCTCAATCAAATTTGGGGAGTAAATTGGAATTAGCATGTCTGTCTATCTTTCTATAGGCATTACATATTGAGGGATAATGGTGGCATTATTTTTTTAGGAAATCTCACATCAACTTCCTGTTTATCTGTGCGTGTAAATTTTTATGTTTTTTTTTTTTAAGCAACTACTATGGTAGCAAGAAGTTTGAAATTTTTTAACACTCTTTGTCGAGGCATATTATATACTGGTAGTGAGATTCATTTTTATGCAAATTCGATGTCAACTTCCTATATATCCACGTGTCTCGAGATCTGTACGCAATTTTTGTTGCAGTTTTTTCACCAACTGACTATCACAGATATAAAAATGTGGTACATGTATCCATTAGATTGAACCCTAGCAATAAAAATCCTGAGTAGCATTCTCTACTGAGACTAGCAAGCTAACCACTATGCTACACAAGTCCTGATGAGGATTGGCATTTAAATCATGTTTGTGATATGACCATTGACTCAGTGGACTTCAAGTTTTTCTCGAAAAGATACAAAAGTTATATCATAAAATTATAATTTTTTAAAAGGTTTATTGGGTTTTTACTCCATAATTTTGGAAATCAAAATAGTATATTTCATTTTGTATGCAAACTTTGAGGATAAACTTGAAAAAAAAAGTGGAGTGAAGACCCACTCATACATTTCAAAACATTGTTTTAAAAAGTGTGTAGTGTTGTTATGATAGTCGCTGACTATCGAAAAATCGTTGTTTAAAGGCCCAGATTGGCGACAATCGATTGTAAATATTATCATCGATAGATCACTATATTTTTCAAGCCGTATTTCTCAGGCCGAGCAGGTTTAACTTTTATATTCACCAAAGGGACATCACTCTAATCAGCAGTAAACAAAATGAGAACGTGCATGGTGAAGAGGTTATAATTATTATATCCATATCCTGGTGCATTGTCTTTTTAAAATACTTCTAAGGATGAATAAATCTAACCTTTTATAACATTTAAAATTATCAATTATATAATTATATAAGTGATTGTGTTCTTCCGATTCAATTTGATAATAGTAAATTTGTCCAATTTTACAACACTAAAAGTGTGAAAAAATGACTCAATTTGCCCTTTTTCGCGTGTGTATTATATTTTACAGGCCAAAAACTTCAATCTTCATGAGATATGTATAAGTTGTAGAGATTTGACAGATTTACATAAAGTATACTTTAATTTTAGATGAAATATTTCGGAAAATTTTGATACAATACTTGATATCGCGATTACTTAACTTAGCTGAACTCTTTCATGAAGGAGGTAGGAATCATCTGTTGGGTGGGAGCAATGTGCTATTCAATACAATTAATGCAAGATCGATCATTGTAGCATTTATAAGGACAGATAAGTAAAAAATCCTGGTGGAATACCTCGCTAGACAATCGCTGAACCAGCCTTATACATTTTTGAGAGGAGCCAATCCTAAATTGTCACATTTTTAAAGATATGTTTAATTAACGTATTACTATAGTTAAATTTTCATTGAAAATCGTCACATTTTTCAGTATATAAAATATTCCGGCTCATTAACTTTGAAATCTACTATTTGGAATTCAATATTGGCAAAAAATCGTTTTTGTCATTAATTGTTATCATTCGATTGTCACTAATGTGTGTCATTTGCCCACAAAAATAGATCAAAAATCCTTTCCGGCCCATAACTAGAAAACTAAAATTTACAATCATCAAACTTCAGTTTATGCAATAATAATTGTTATTTCAAGTCACTGTGACATTTAATTTAAGTGAAATTTTAAAATGTGTACTATTCATTTAACATTCAATGTAAGAGTATTGATTTGTCCTTATTAATGTTGTTATTTAAATACTTATTTTTTAAGCATTAACTTGATGACAGCAATTATAAAAATATAATGTACGTTAGAGAAATCCTAAAATCCCATGAGTAAATTATAATTAATTTTTAAGTTTTGATAACAAAAATTGCATTCAAATTAGAGAGAAATTAATGTTTTTGAGTGTGAAGTTAAATTATAGACAATGAATGAAATTATTCTTTATTGACATAAGTAACAGTGTTGAGAAAGATTTTATAGTTAAACATATTTTACGTTTAAAGAAAAAAGTACTGTTTAACAAAACTAAAATGAATTTCAGAGCCAACTCTCTCAAAAATAATTTTTATAAATTTAACAGTTTTGTCAATTTAACTGTATTTTTTGTATTAAAAAGTTGATCAAACTTTACACATTTGGATGTAAATAATTTTTGATAATAATAATAACCTTGAATTCAAAATAAGTGAATCATTGTACACAATGTTGAATTAAATAAGTAATGAAAATCATCACCAATTTTTTTTCATTTTTGGAACACAATTTAAAATTTTTTCTCAATGATTTTTATTTGCCAATCTTCCAAATCATTTAATTTATTATTACAAGTGAAACTTACAAAATGTTTTCCAGTACTTAAAAGGCAGAATATAAATACTTTTCTAGACAAAAAGATTTTGTATATTTATAATTAAGACCTTTAATTTTTCACTTTATACCACTTCATTTAAACTGATCATAAACAAATTTTTACACTATTTTCTTCAGCATGATACATTTACAGGTTGAATACTGTGCCAAATATAAGAAAGTCCACATTCATTCAATATAATTTGAAAAGTCCATGGATTATTGTAGTTCTTTAAAACACTTAACAAATTCGATGATTTTATCCCTTTGTAAAAAAATTCATACCATTTTGTATCATTCTAATTGGGTATATTAATTGAAATATTATCTTTGACCTAATTCAATATACCATAAAATTTGTGTTGATGACTTTGATGCAAAATATGCTTACAAAATTTTAAGTCACCAATGAAAAATATAACCTATTACAAGTGATTAAAACCCCACAAGTCAGCATTGATAAAATTCCCCACAAGTCAAACATATCCAAGTGCATTCATAGTTAAGTGAGTGTATTTCCCCACAAGTCATAGCAAAGATAAATATTCCCCACAAGTTTTTACAAAAAAGTATTTAAAAGTTAACAGCGATTTTAAATGTTATTCCATTTAATGTAATGAGAAATTTCCCTTTCACAAGTTAGCAATTTTAGTTTTATTGGTGTTAACTTTGAAGTCAACTTTTGCAATATTTGTTAAATAATCCAATTTGTATTGTAAAATATCTTAAATTATTTTAAAAGGATATCATCTTGTATATCAAAAACAATTGGAGTTTCTAAATTAGAATTATAAATGATTTTCAATAATTTAAATAAATTTCAAGGTCATTTAACCCATAGATGGGCAAAAATTTGGGGGTAGGGATTATGGTACAAGGCATTAAGTATTTTTTGAATAATGGTGATTTAATTTTTTAACTTCCTGTTTATCTTGCGTGTAAATTTTTATGTTTTTTTTTTTTCAGCAACTACTATGGTAGCAAGAAGTTTGAAATTTTTTAAAACTCTTTGTCGAGGCATATTATATAAAGTGAAGTGAGATTCATTTTTATGCAAATTCGATGTCAACTTCCTATATATCCACTCTATTCAGAATAGATCTGTACGCAATTTTTGTTGCAGTTTTTTCACCAACTGACTATCACATATATAAAAATGTGGTACATGTATCCATTAGATTGAACCCTAGCAATAAAAATCTTGAAATAGCATTCTCTACTGAGACTAGCAAGCTAACCACTATGACTACACAAGTCATGATACAGGATTGGCATTTAAATCATGCTGTTATGTTTGTGATATGACCATTGACTCAGTGGACTTCAAGTTTTCTCTCCAAAGATACAAAAGTTATATCATAAAATTATAATTTTTTAAAAGGTTTATTGGGTTTTTACTCCATAATTTTGGAAATGAAAATAGTATATTTCATTTTGTATGCAAACTTTGAGGAAAAATTGAAGAAAAAGTGGAGTGAAACAACTTTTCATACATTTCAAAACATTGTTTTAAAAAGTGTGTAGTGTTGTTATGATAGTCGCTGACTATCGAAAAATTTTCGTTTAAAGGCCCAAATTGGCACAATCGAACTTGTAAATATTATCATTAATAATGAAACTATTACATTTTTCAAGCCGTATTTCTCAAGCCGAACAGGTTTAACTTTTATATTTTTCACCAAAGGGACATCACTCTTAATCAGCATTAAACAAAATGAGAACGTGCATGGTGAAGAGGTTATAATTATTATATCCATATCCTGGTGCATTGTCTTTTTAAAATACTTCTAAGGATGAATAAATCTAACCTTTTATAACATTTAAAATTATCAATTATATAAGAATATATAAGTGATTGTGTTTGATTCCGATTAATTTGATAATAATGGACTAATAAATTTGTCCAATTTTAAACACTAAAAGTGTGAAAAAATGACTCAATTTGCCCTTTTTCTCAACCAAAAAAAAAATCTTGTGTATTTTATATTTTACAGGCCAAAAATGGTTCAATCTTCATGAGATATGTATAAGTTGTAGAGATTTGACAGATTTACATAAAGTATACTTTAATTTTAGATGAAATATTTCGGAAAATTTTGATACAATACTTGATATCGCGATTACTTAACTTAGCTGAACTCTTTCATGAAGGAGGTAGGAATCATCTGTTAGGTGGGAGCAATGTGCTATTCAATACAATTAATGCAAGATCGATCATTGTACCATTTATAAGGACAGATCATAAAACTGGTGGAATACCTCGCTTTTTAGACAATCGCTGAACCAGCCTTATACATTTTTGAGAGGAGCCAATCCTAAATTGTCACATTTTTAAAGATATGTTTAATTAAGCGGACTCTTATAGTTAAATTTTCATTGAAAATCGTCACATTTTTCAGTATATAAAATATTCTTAACTTTCCTTATTTGACAATCTACTATTTGGAATTCAATATCTGGCAAAACATCGTGATTTTGGCATTAAATTGTTCGAATCATTCGATTGTCACTAATGTAAACAATGTCATTTGCCCCCAGAAATTTAGACTTTTCTTGACTCCCTCGCAAAAGAGCGGAGGTAAGTTAGATAACTGCGAGGTACTCATTGGTAGTCGCGACATAACATATTGAGATTTAATTTTTTCACCTTCATGTTTGTTGCGCTATAGGCTTATCCCTTGTTATGTTCTCGGACTCCCATCTCATTTATCATCCAATAATAAAATACATTTCCAAAGCATGTGAATTATATTTAGATGATAATTAAATACATATGATAAACAATAGATAAAAATTGATATTTTTGTCCTTTCTACTCTTCATGCATATAACATGTATAAAGTCCACAACAATAAAATGATTCATTTGATTTTTGTTAGGATTTGTTCATCGACATCCAACATATTGTTTACATGTTTATGTTACGTTTGTCCCAGAAATCCTGAAAGATTTGTACACTCTGCAACTTTTTTACAGAGGAGCGCACTAAAATCTTAAACTCTTCCATAGTTGAAATAAGACGTATTGGTAAATAGATTTTGCCCTGTAGTCCATCTGGCTGTTTGTCCTCAAAAACTTTAACCTTGCTCATAACTTTGGAGTGAGTGGGGCTATGGCTTTCATATTTCACTGCTGTACACTTGTATTTCTTGTGACAAGACCTTTCTTTGGGTACCACCACCACCAAATTTGACCTCTTGACCTTGAAGTTTGACCACTTTTACAAAAATATATCACTCTTCAACCTAGTTATAACTTATAACTTTTGCACAGTTGGTGTTAGGGCTTTCATACTTCTCATTGGTATGTTCAATAATTTTTTTGACAGGTCTGCCCAAGTTTTGTATTAAAACGCTTCTGAAACTCATCTGTAAAAACATTTAATATTGTTGGCCGATTTAAACATTTCGGGAAAATAGCAAAAAAAATGAAAAAAAAAAAAAAGTCTTATGAGACTTGGATACTGTTGCAAGGAGAAAGTTGGATAAAATGATTAAATAGAATAATGTATATTTTTAAAGTCATTTATGTTCATATTTGTAAAATTTTGAAATCAAAAAATGTAGGAGGAAAACAATTTTACTTAATTTCTATTTTTCAAAGGTATCCGTTCATCAGTAAATTAAAATTCAATAAACAGAATGTGTATGTATCTTAAGTATTCTACTTGTGTGGCCAAGTTATACATCCAATAATAAAATAATAGCATTTTGAAACAATTTTACAGAATTATATTTTTAGTAGAAATTAAAAATTGAAATCAAAAACCGTAAAAATTGTATGCTTGCCAACTTATATTGTCAAAACAAAGGAGGAAAGTAACAACAATTAAATTTCAATTTCAGTCAATGGTTCATCGAAATCATGACCGGTGTCATTAGTGTACAGGTTTTGCCAAGTATTGAAATCAGACCAAAACTGTAAGTGATAACATATTGAAAGATTTTACAAATTTCATATTTTTAGTAACCAGGCAACACTTTCACTGAAATCTTCATTTACAAATTATGTTTATATTGTGTGCCAAGTAATTGAAATCAAAAAACTAGATAAAAAAAATTTTGTAAGAATTTCACAAATTTTCTATTTTTATATGGCAACACCGTTCATCAAATCAATTGAAACCGATACACAGAATTATGTATCTTAGTGTATTCACTATTGTTATACTGAAATCTTTAAAAACTGTAAAGGAAAAAAGAATTTCACAAAAATTTCTATTTTTAAAATACATAAATAGAATTAATCCTGTTAGATCTTTGTGTGCTTAGCATTTTGAATAATTTCACTGATTTGTATTTTTGTGACAAGACCTTTCTTTGGCAACCACCAAATTTGATCTTGAAATCAAAAACCACTTTTAAAAAATATATCACTCTTCAACCTTAGTTATAACTTGTGTGCCAAGTTAAGTGAAATTAGACCAAAACTTGAGCATTTTGAATTTTTTTTGACAAAGTTTTGTATTAAAACGCTTCTGAAACTCATCTGTAAAAAACATTTAATATTGTTGGCCGATTTAAACATTTCTATCGAAAATAGCAAAAAAAATGAAAACGTGAAAAAAAAAAACTGGTTCGGAGAGTAAAATGGAGGATAGGTCAGGTGACAGGAAACATGAGTACAGTCATGTATATTTTTTTTGCCCCGGTATAGTGTCATATTTGATATTATATGGAATATGTGATTTGCAGCACATTCTTACTGATATTTCTTTAAATTACAGGTATCCTGAATTTTTGTCAACTTCTAGCCAAGATCCTGTACTTAAGCTGAATGTGGAGGACAGATGTACACACAGTACTAGTATAGAGGGTAAGTAGACCATAAAAAAAAACAAGATGTGTTTGTGAAACACTATGCGCCCGGCGGCAACAAAGTTTGGAAAAAGCTATTTTTAGCATTAAGGTCACAGTCAAGGTCACAAAGTCATTGACCTTGGTGTCATTTGAAAGAGGTTGATTAGTGGAGTATGGAGTGGACTCCATGCCACTAAACTGGAAGTGAACACCGCAGTGAATATTTTACGTAATTGAAGAAAAGAAAAAAATTGTATGTAAATCTTCATGTACAATATTATGTTTCCATATGTGATCAATTAAAAAAAAATATATTTTTAAAACAAAATAATGCCTCATCAGGTCGGTAAGACAAGCTGTTTGGCTCTTTGTTGACTTGGCTTTTCAATGATTTAAATTTGGCACCGTGTAAAAATAGAATTATCTGTCCCTGGTACATATCGTCTTACAAGTAAGAAAAAGAATTGATAACTTTTAAAGTTTTCTTAAATATGTTTAAAATAACTGAATCAAAATATGTTGAATAATTATTTATTTTATTTCATTTGAACAAGCTTTCATCATCATGATCATGTTCATAGACGTCAAATATACACTGCGAGATTTACTTCCAGTTTAGTGGCATGGAGTCCAGGATGAGCTGTTAAAGTGGAAAAAGGGCCAGAAACGGCCTGTAGTCGTCAAGCAGATTGGATTTCTTAACTTGAATAAATAGTAAAACGCTCCGAATACTGAATTTGTTGCGAGATTTTTTAGGCCAAGCCCAGATCTATTAGTTTAAGTGTGTCCCCCCAAAACATATTGCCATCATGGTGTATTTTAGTTGAAGGTAGGAAAATTTCTTTCCGGATTTTTTTTTTTTTTGACGATAAGAACTTCAGACTCCTGTCCTATAACATTTTTAAAAATATTTATTGATTTTTTTTAAAGTCACTTGCCCACGGGCATGTACCTATTAAAAAAATTCACTTGCCTCCCCCCTTAAAAATTCACTAGCCCCGGGCGTCGGGCAATGGGATTTGTCAGACCCTGGTAGTGTAGATTCAAGCTTGTTCAAATCATGACCCCCCAGGGGTAGGGTGAGACCACAATGGCCGATCAAAGTTTTACATAGGAGTATATAGGAAAAATCTTTAAAAATCTTCTTCTCAAGAACTACTGGGCCAGGAAAGATGAAACTCATGTGTAATCATCTTCAGGTAGTGTAGATTCAAGTTTGTTCAAATCATGACCCCCGGGGTAGGATGGGGCCACAATAGCTGATCAAAGTTTTCCCTAGGAGTATATAAGAAAAATCTTTAAAAATCTTTTTCTCAAGAACCACTGGGCCAAGAAAGATGAAACTCACCCGGAATCATATTCAGGTAGTGTGGATTCAAATTTGTTCAAATCATGACCCCCAGGGGTAGGGTGGGGCCACAATGGCCAATCAAAGTTTTACATTGGAGTATATAGGAAAAATCTTTAAAAATCTTCTTCTCAAGAAACACAGGGCCAGGAAAGATGAAACTCATGTGTAATCATCTTCAGGTAGTGTAGATTCAAGTTTGTTCAAATCATGACCCCCAGGGGTAGGATGGGGCCACAATGGCCGATGAAACTCTTTCATAAGAATATATATGAAAATCTTTTTAAATCTTCTTCTCAAGTACTTCAAAGCCATGATTAGTGATATTTATATGGAATCAACCCCCTTAATGTATATTTTAGTTTGTTCAAATCATAACCACGCGAAACCCCCCCCCCCCCGCCTCTCAATTTTTCAGTTTTGACCTGATCTGTGCTTTTTCCTAGACAATGTGCTCAGGTGAGCCCCGGTCAAATAAAAAGGTCAAGGATTAAAATCATTCCAAGGTCCGAAACATCTCGATCTTGTCTCACAAAAGGGACATCAAAAATTAAAACCAAAATCAAATGTTACAATGAAAACAAGACTCACCGGGGTAGGGCGGTGCCACAATGGCTGATCAAAGGTTTACATAGAATATATAGGAAAAATCTTAAAAAATCCACTGGGCCAGGAAAGATAAAACTCTTGTCGAAGCATCCTTAGGTGGTGTAGATTCAAGTTTGTACAAATCATGACACCCGGGGGTAGGGCAGGGCCACACTGGCTGATCAAATTTTTATATAGAAATATATAGGAATTTTTTTTTAAAATCCTTTGCTCAAGATCAGCAAAGCTATGATTGTGATATTAATATGGAAATATCCTCAGAGTTAATTCAAGTTTGTTCATAACATGATCTCTTGGGTTTAGGGAGGGTTAACGAGGGGTCACAATGGGAGATCAAGTAATATGTAGGACAAATCTTCTTTTCAAGTATGGCAAAATTTAGCTGCAGATCTGTAGCACTATGGTTTTATAATTTGTCTGACTCTAACGCTACAGGTCCCGTAATGCAAAAAAGGTGGAATTTACGGGGCATTGTTTGCGCACTTTTGGGGAAAATTTTTCCATTTTCTAGCATTGGTCAATCAACTACCTTTCCATTCCTAATTCTGGACTTATTCTGTATAAAATAGTGTATATTTTATCCACCTCCCAACCATTTTTAGTTATATCTACAGTTAAAAAACTCACTTGAAGTGAATTTTCAGCAGTACATGTATAACATATAATTTTAATCAAGCGAGTTCTCAAGTATTAAAAAATTTCATCCCCCCCCCCCTCCCAACAAGTAAACTTCAATACTGAGCTGACTTGTGTTTTTTTAACTAGCCCATGTGCTCAGGTGAGCGATGTGGGCCCATGGGCCTCTTGTTTTCATTGTAACTTTTGATTTTGGTTTTCATTTTTGATGTCCCTTTTGTGAGACAAGATCGAGATGTTTCGGACCTTGGAATGATTATAATCCTTGACCTTTTTATTTGACCTTAATTCAAAATATTGCTTTGGAATTGACAATATATGATAGGGAATTAATATTTAACACAATATGCTATATATAATAGCACCTTACAAACTAAGACACCGAAAGCGAGGGACCACAATTATTTGAATTTGCTTGATTACATTGCTTTAAATGCTCAGAAATGATGTTTTCTAATTTCAGGTATTATCTCGGTACCTTAAAACTCCAAACGACAGGGAGAAGAAGAAAACTGCATATTTCCGATGTATCTTCACAGCAACATGACCCAAAGCACTACCATTAAAGGATTTGATTTGACATTAAGGAAGTAAAAAAATGAAGGCATTAGTCATAAAGAAAATTAAAGAACTTTATGTCTGAATATTATATCAACAATACCATAGATCTAAAGATGGATTATTTTGCCTTATAATTTATATTAATGCATGTACATGTAATTTTATTCTTTTTATATATACAATCATGTAGTGTTACCATTTTTCACAAAGCTTAAAAAGTTATGTAGGGCCACACCAATTTAATTTCTTGTTCGTCGGACATTTGATTTAAAAAAAGTACAAGCAGTTAAATGATAATATTATTACTCTTTGCTGGGCAATTTTTTAGGCGGAGCGTGAAAATTTGAGCGGACAATTATATTTTTTCTGATTTACAGAGTAAGCAGATATAAAATACAATAAATAGAGCGGAAATGGAACAGAAAATAGCACAGAATTCCTATGGTGCGAGAAATTGAAATTAATATTATTTGTATGGTTTTGTTTAAATAAGCGCGTGGGTCCGACGAACAAAAATTTTCATTAGTGTGGCCTAGATCATTTAGATTCAATTCATTTTTTTCTTCAAATTACCACATGCCAGAATTCATAAGAAGGAAATTTATATATGGCTGGTGGTTGTGGCCATTTTAGACTATATTGATCTCCTTTAGAAGGAGAGCTCCTTATAAAATTATACAAAAAATGACCAAATTTTAAAACTAAAATGTACAGAATTTTTCTTTGCCAAATGATAGTTCATAGAACCACAATTCTTCAATCATGTCTACTTGGAGATCAGTGGATGGATATTCATATACAATACACAGCTGAAGCAGGTTTTGTTAGGTTATTTTATTTTCAAAAGGAATGCATTATTTTCTTCAGTCCATTAATGTTAAGCTCTTTAATAGAAACAATTGTAGAAGATTTATCATATTTTGTTTAGAATTTTGAAGAATTTGTTAATCACTCAGTGAAAATTATCCCTTGTCATAATACAAATTTTTAAAATGTATGTACAAATACTTTTATGTTGAAATGACCATGCAAGGAAGAAAATAAAACAAGTTTAAGTGTACACTTTATGCTTTTATATCCAAATTGGCTTCTGTGGAAGGAGAAAGGTTCATATAATAGTATATTAATTAAAGGAGTACATAATGTCCTTTAGAATTTCAGTAAAATTTCTTGACTTTCATGTTAAGGTCATACGCAACGTAGTTTTAACTTTTTTGGATTCTGCCTTGGAGTTGAAGAGTTCCACTAAATGAAGGGCCTGTGTGCAATATTTTTAATGTCTATATATGGATTTGTACACCTCTTCTTAAACAATTTTTGATGGAAAAAAATCTGGAATTCATGTTTTATAATTTTTGTACATTTTTATTTAAATAATGCAAAAATTTTCAAAATTCGATATCTTTTCAAAACCCCTGGAAACGCATGCTGATTTTTTGTCCAAGAACATTTAATGATATTATAAGTTTAAATTTAGAATATCTTGGAAAATTATCAGTAGGTAAGGTACGTTGTGTATGTCCTTAATAGACATGAATTTAATTCGAATGGGGGTTGCATTCCATTCCATCTTGTTTTGAAAATGAAAGGATTAACTTCCATTGTAATTGTCATACATCTCAACACATTCATATACTAGAATGAGTAGATTATATAGAAGAAATTTGAGAAAAAAAGGAAAGGAAGTAAAAGTCAATACATGTGAATAAGGCCACACTGTCCGTCGGACATTTGATGAAAAAAGTACGAGCGGGGTAGCGGTTAAATAATAATATTATTACTTTTTTGAAGGCAAAATTTTAAGGCGGGGCGTGAAAAAAATTGAGCGGACAATTATATTTTTTCTGATTTGCAGAGTAAGTAGATTAAAAGTACGATAAATAGAGCGGAAATATAACAGAAAACAGCAAAGAATTCCAATGGTGCGGGAATTTCAAATTTATATTATTTGTATAGTTTTGTTTAAATAAGAGCGCGCGGGTCCGACGAACAATAAATTTTATTGGTGTGACCTAATTCCTAGCTGCAGAACTGTAGCGTTGTGGTTTTAAATATTAGTCTTGTCCATAAAGCTACAGATCCCGTAATGCAAAAAAAAAAAAAGGTACCATTTACGGCTGAAGATTTTTTTGCGCACTTTGGGGGAAATTTCTCCTTTTTCCAGCATTGTTCAATCAACTAACTCTCACTCCCGAATTCTAGACACATTCTGTAACCAATCTGTATATTTTATCCACCTCCAAATCCTTTACAGTGGTAAACTGATTTGATTAGAATCGTTTGTTAAATTGCTGAAAATACACTTCAAGCGAGTTTATCGCCTGTAGAGACTGCTATCAGGCATGTAGCATCGTTTTTGAAAGTGGAGGGGGGGGGGGGGCAACCAGAGAATTTTTTTTTACTTACCTGTAAAAGTTGACAAGCATAAAAAAAAAAAATTCCCAACTTTTTCCAAGGCCAACTTCCTTTTACTTCCAATTTTTTCGCATACAATACATACAATACTACATTTCCTTCATATCACTATACGGTGGTAAGAATTGGGGGGGGAACCAACACTTTACAGTGGACATTCTCAATAGTAAAGGTAATGTTGGGGAAAAAAGTGGGGGGGGGGGGGCTAGGCCTCCTCCTGGCCCCCACTGTTGCTACGTCCCTGACTATAAAGAGTTGAGAGGTGGATAATATAAACAGATTGTTGAAAGAATGTGTCTAGAATTAGTGAGTGAATGGTAGTTGATTGATCAATGCTTAAAAGTGGAGAAATCCCCCCCCCCCCCCCCCCAAACTGCGCAAAACGCAATGTTTTCACTCAGGACCAGTGGCTTGCGAGGATGGACTAAAACTATATTAAGAACTTCCTGAACTAGTTTTGAAATTTTTTCTCCGGAATTGGCGGAGGGGGGGGGGGGGGTTACTTTTTTCTATGCATAAATAAAGACAAATAATAACCCCATTGAATATGTCCGTAGAAAAAGTTCTGTCCTTTATGGAGTAAATGTAAATGTCTCAATAATTTCCGAATATCCCTCGTATATTGATAATATTACATTATACCATCATTGTATTTTTTTTTAAGGTCAAGGCAATGACTCAGAATTTAGAGGAGTAAAGGGCTTATCGAGCCCAAAAGGGCAAGGAGAGCGTTGTTTTTCAATTTTAAAAAATCAGTGATCGTCATGACAGAAAAAAAAACATCAATGAAAGTTTTATATGATTCAACGATTAAAACTGATGGAGCAGACATGTCAAGTTTCTTGTTTAAAAGTCAGAGACATGCAAACCCAATGAGACCATCGGAGCTAACATCAGCTTAATTTAACCAGTATAAGTTTTGTATTTGAAATCTTTTTTGGCAAAATGTAGAAAAACAATAAATATCGAAGCATACCAATGAAAGGTGTATTTTAAGAGGCAAAATGACAAATTACCTTAGAAATATCTTGGATCAAAAAGTTTTGTGATGTAAGGGTGATTTCCTTTTACTCTTCTGTATCAAATTTAAAACGTTTGGGGGTAGCATGAAAAGGACAATCAGACTTCCAGTGAACATTTTAAATGTTAAAAAAGAACAACAACAAAAAAATACGATCATGGAAATAGAAGTGGGAGGATACTCCACCCCTCCTGATTCTATCACCCCCTCAAATCAAGGGTTTTTGATCCGCTCCGCTTTATGCGGGCATCAAAAACCGGAGGGCAAGCCCCTTCTCAATTTCCTAGTGCCTGAATATGTTCGTTTGAGCGAAATTCGGATGCAGATGATATAACTTTTCTGAAATTGTTTTCAATCTACTGTATTTTCAGTTCAATTTAGGAATGAAATATCCTTATATTCACTAGGAAGGTCAAAATTGAAAACATTTATCTACATCAAAAATTCAAAATACACAAGACTGTATTGAAATGTTTTTACATTAGTTTCACAATTGAAGCACTGTTTTAAAGTGGTGTCATTTTGTAATTTTTGAATTTACTACCACCCGGTAATCAAAAAATTACAATATGACAATGGGATTTAAAAAATTCCTCTAAATATGCCTGTATCCAATTCTCAGACGACCATGTTATCATACATGTACACGTACTTGAATGTACATTATGCATGGAATCTTCTTTATTCTACGAGTAAATTTTGAAAAGAATTTCTCAAAGAGATTCCCACTGTTTATAAATAAAATTGAATCCACATAATACACGCACGATATTTTTCAGACATGCAGAAATTTTATGTCCTTCTTTCATGTATATGATTGCCACGTCTGATTCATATTTGGACGTTCTTCTGACTATACCAGTACTAACTATATTTAAGACCAAATTAAAAGTAAATTTTATGCCAAACGAATAACTTTAGCTTTTCTATTGTCATCTTTCCTTATTTATGAAATAATACAGGCACGTAGCAACAGAGAAGGGAAGGGGGGCTCCTCCCCCCCCCCCCACTTTTTTCCCAACATAACTTTTACTATTGCAAATGTTCATTGATAGGCTGGTTGCCTCCCCCTTTTGTGGTACAGTAAATTGAAATAAGGGTAATGTAGCATTGTATGCAAAAGAAGAAGATACTGAAAGAAGTTGGTATCCGAAAAAGTTGCCCCCCCCCCCTTCACCCACCCCACCCCCACGAAATAGGATTTTCGAGTTTGGGCAACGTCGCAGCTGTTGCAGAAAATATTATATACCTCTTATATATTTTTTTCTGCAAAAGCTCCGACGTTAATTTCCGTACTAGCAAACAAAGAAAAGCACTTAACTATTTATGTTAATTTTACATATTTATGAAAAAGGTCAAAGTTAAATTAAATAAGTTAAATATTATACATTTATTGACGGAGTTAGAGGACAACATGCGCTTTGTCAGTCCCAAGAACCAACTGTCTGTCTGAGGATGCTAGAACGACAAAACGCAGAACTTAGTCAATAAATGTTTTGCTATACCTTTCATTTTCATTTTTTTTCACATACATGTATTTTGTACTATCTACCGTGATGTAACCTCCGATCCGTCACTTCTGAACACCAATGAATGAAAATGAGATTAAGCTCCGCCCATTCTGTGACTGAAGCGATCCAACATCTCATCGACCGGTCCAACATCTCACTAAGCGGTCAAACATCGAATGTTTTTATGCCTGCTCAGCAAATCATTACACATTTATTGACTGGGTTCGAGGGCAACATGCGTTTTGTCGGACCCAAGAACCAAACTGTCTGTCTGAGGCTGTTAGACTGAAAGCACACAGTTTTGTTCGAGGGTCCGACAAAACGCATTTAGCCCGAGAACTCTGTCAATAATTATTTTGTTATACTTTTCATTTTATTTTATTGACATACATGTATTTTATACTGTATTCCGTGATTTAACGTTAACTGTTTAACGAATGAAAATGAGATTAAGCCCCACCCATTCTGTGGCGTAAGCGGTCCAACATCTCACTCAACAGTCCAACATCGATTTTTTTTTGTGCCCGCTCAGCAAAACATTAAAAATGTTAGAATTTTTTCGTTTAGATTTATGTAAGAACAAATTTTTAAAGGTATAACAATAGATATGATGGACTTTTTTTCGTTTATTGCTTTGTATAGGAACAATTTTAAAAGGAATATATTGCAGACATATATGTCATTGCGTGGACCCTGGGGTCCACGAAGTAAATATATAAGCGAGGTTTAACAGGATGCCTTGGGCAAACGACAGGCTTCGCATGCGCGAGAATGCTGGAGAGTTCGCACCTTAGGTAACCTGCCCGTAGAATAATTCGCCCTATTCGAATTAGAATATGCCATTATTTGCAAATCGCGCTTTTAAATCCACATATCGCATTTACATAGTCATTGGCGGATCCGAATTTCCCTCTTATACAGTCATATACCTTTTATGTACAAACTAAACTTTGATTCTATTGTACAAGCATTTTAAAAAGTAGGAAGAACTTAGATACATGTAACTTTACAACTTGAATGAAAAACGTCATTCAACGACTAGTTCTAGATTTTAAAAAATAGAAGAAGCTTTCAACGGCATAAGTCTTGTGCATCAAGGTTCGCAAAATAATT